TTGTACATGTCCAAGTACATGTACAAGTACGTACTTTTACATGAAAACTGCAACTACTTGTATTGGCTATATATTGGTATGTTATGATGTGCAGACATATATATAAGTATAATTATTGATATGTGGCATCTAGTCGCTAGATCATTCATACTCTATATTTTAATACATACACTATATACTGATATTTACATGTCATTAAATAAATATGTAAATACACACAGGGGAATATAATTTGATACAATTGATTACCGACCCATAGATTAGAAGGCTAATGGCTCTTGAAAATTCATCACTATCGACCTACACCTGGACTCTGGAGACTAGACTCAAAATCGGAAGGCTATGGTTCTATGGTTCTAGCTCGAATTCTCATCTCTCATTGGTTCAAATTGAATTTTCAGCGGATTTTCAAGACTGGGGATTTTCTAAAATCGAGCTGTACAAGTGCGAGAACATATGTTTTCTAAATTAGACAATAATTTAGCGGAAATTGCATAGCCTTCTAAAATACAGATAAATTGCTTTTAAAAAATGATCAGGACTTAAAAATCACCCGGATGGATTTTGGACTTTATGTCTCAAAAAAAAGGTTGGCTTGCTCAAATTTGGAATATTTTGTCCGTTTTTCAAAATTCGAATTTGGCACTTCTGAGGTCCTGGATAATTTTATTTTTTGGTTGTCGTTTTGGAAACACCAAATAAAACGGTATGCGTAAAAACTTTTATAATTGTGTGCGTTAAGGTAAAAAATAGTACGTTTTCAACTGTTCTAAATAGATTAACAATAGACAAATATACATTGGTCCGGATCTAAAACTGCAAAAGTTCAATTTCTATTTTGGCATATATAGTTGGGTGGCATCATATGCCAATATATTGGCAGTCTTCGTCGCCAAGGTCATGTAGCGTGCGCAAACGTATCCCGTTTCCCGCTATCGCAATGTTTTTTTCTTTTTTCTTTTTTTAACAAAATATTGAATTACTCAAATAGTAAACAAAACAAAAACAAACATTTTGATTTTTTTTAAGAAAGAAAAACCAGTATGTCCGGGCAGAAATCGACATGCCGCATCATCACAAGAAACCCGACGCAAGTGACAAAAGTTTCAGAATTTCAAAAAGTTCAATATTTCATGTAGTAAAATAACTTTTTACATATCATTTTTGGGTCATTTCTCATGTATAGCGTGAAAACGTATACATTTGGGTATAAACGTATACGTATTGGAACCCGACAGACACCTATGTCACATTTGGTCGGCACATATAGGGGTGACATGTCAAAATTTGACCCTTTTTTTACGACGGCTATGGCTTCCTTTTACATAGCCTTCTCAAAAAAAAGCACCCTTTTAGGTGATTGCGTTCGCACTTCGCACTGTATATTTTAAATTCCAAAATTTTGTTTTTTTGGATAGAAAGGGTACCTTCAACAATATTTACCCAACCCTATCTATACTTCTATAGACCTCACAGGCTCATAACGTTACTTTTTTTAATGATCAGTGAAGTGTCTTCAATTTTTCGGCTCCAGAACAGAATTTCTTGGGTGTCTGCGGCTCGACATTATTTCAAATACAACTGGCAGCATATTTTGAAATTGAATTGGAATATACAGTTCCAAAATTTCTCAAGAAATATACCAAAATATACCTATATTTTTTAGGGCTATATTTTCTCTATATTTTCCAAAGTTAGCAAAACCGACCTAATACAATTTGTTTTTCTTCTTTTTTTAAATAGTTACAAATCTCTATGAAAAAACCTGACCCTCTGGAATTGTCTCTCAGAAATGATTGTCCTTGGAGAGAATCCTTTTTTCATCCAGCGACAATTTCTAGAGGGCCATGGAAAATAAATAGTATTTTTTTTTAAATAGAGAGTTTAAAAACTACATAATCACCACTCCTTGGGACCCACCACAGGGGCCCAGAGTAGGGTATACAAACTAAAAGTTTATTTTTCATAGCCTTCCGAAAGTATAACATTTTTATTTATTTCCGAATACATCCAGGTCTACAGTTCTACACTGTACACTCTACACTCTACGAGTTAAATCCCTCATTTAGTGTGGACTGTGGAGTGTGGAGTTGAGGGTTCTGGAATCTAAAATTTGCGTCCGACTGACCGACTGTGGACGAGTTTGTTTTTTTAAAGTGCTCGCAAATACATACAATTATGTATAAATCTTTTTCAGCAGTACTCGTGACTCATCGGAACATGAACAGCTGAACAATATTCGCATATTTGACATTTTCCCTTTAGAAGGCTAGACGTCCAAGGGAGTTTATGGCTATTTTTGTATGCTGCTTTATTACGGGCCACCCTTAAATATGACCCAAAGAGCGAGACTCAGACATGGCCTTCTTCTAAATTGAACGGCTATGAGAGAGAATTGTTGAGGCCGATGGTCAGTCAATTGCCATCGAAGTTAAACGTAAACGTGTTTTTTGGTGTACAAACGGTTTAGAGCGTTAATCTGGCCTGGAAAAATGCCAGCTGGCTCGAATCGTATATGTAAGCTTCGTCGATGAATGAACAGTTTAACGTATAACGTTTTGATTTTGAGTCTTGTTCGCTCTGAACGTTTTTTAAGAGCCCACCTCCGCACAGGCCCACACACACAAAGTCCAAGACCCTCCAGCCTCCTCTTCAGGAATATATGAGTTTTGTTACTCTTCTATGCATATATTGCAGTATCTACTCGTGTGTGAGCAACAGAACTGTCGAATTCGGTATCCGATTTACTATACTTATTAATTAATAGTTGTGTGTGTGTGTCGCTTCACATCCATAATCCACGATGTCCACGATGTCCGACAGCGGTGACCACGATGGGGGTATACGCACATTTCAAAGTGTAAAAGGAAGACCTGCGGCAGACGATGGAGAGAAGCCGCATGATGGCTCATTGCAGACAACCCAGAGTGTCTCCCATAAAGTGAGAATCGAAGAAACCGAAGAACAGGTATGTTGATTCGCTTTTATTTTGCAGATTTCTTGTAGAAGCTTAATAAAAGTTGCAAATTTTTCGTGACCTAAAAATATTCTTGTTCATTGTTTACGCTTGTAATGTGTATGTTCTCTACCGTTGTTATATAGGTATATATATATACGTAATGATTTATATGTATATATATATATATATATATGTGTGTGTGTGTGTTGTGTGTGTGTCAATGTATTATTTTGTGTGGTTATGTGTGTTTACGTATGTGTGTGTGTGGGCACGTATATGTTTGTATACACGTATGCGTGTGCGCATC